AATTGCAAAATTTAAATCAAGTCACCACTTGTCTGACTTGGCAGCTAAAACAACATGACTAAGTGAACATGATCAACATTTTGTGGGGGGAAAACCCAGTATCAGTCCATTTCCCATCCCTCTCTTCTCTTGGACACATATGCAAAATAAAAATTTGTTTTCTTTTTTAAAAAAGAAAGCAGTTAGTTAAATGTTAAAACGTTAATAATGAAAACGTTAACAATGAAAGAAAGAACCCAGACCATCGAAGAGGCTGAAAAACGATTGTTAATTTGGATAAATCAGAAATAACTCGACGGCAATAGCATATCCAAGACAGTGATAGGAGAGAAGGGTAAAAACCTCCATATGAATTTATAAGTGTAGTTTTGGGGACTCAGAACCAATTATTTGATTATCCGTGATTTCCTATAGAAAAACTATGTTCCACTCTTCAACATTTTGATGTTAAAACACAAATTTGGATCAAATTGAGTTTGATGACCGAAGTCTGACTGTACTTATTCAATCTGCGTGGTGAGCATATGAACCAAGAAGCTGCACTACAGGACGAAGAGCGCAGCATCTGGCTTAGAGGAAGACTTAGTGACCTTCCGTGAGAGCAAGGGCAACTTAAAGCACTTGCTAATGAAAATCTAAGACCACATACTTCCTGATGCATGGCACGTCAACGTAAAGAGAACAAAGTCCTCATATCCAAACCAATAGAAAACCTCATGATAAATAGAGAACAGATTGAAGTAGTTGATTATTTTATTTCACTTGGATTCATGATCAATTCTTGTGGAAGCAGCAGTCAATAAAGCAAGCAACATATTGCATTGGACAAATCTTCTACACAAATCCTTTAAAGTGTTAAAGAGTAACGATGTCACTTTGAGGACTAAGGGGTGTCTGACCCAAATCATGGTATTTTCAATCACTTCGAATGCACGTGAAAGCTAGAGAATGAATAAGGAAGACTACAGTGAACCCTCGTGTATCGCGGTTAATCGGTTCTAGACCCTACCGTGATAAATGAAATTCCGCGAAGTAGGATTC